TGATGGCTTAACACAAACATTGGGACAAGTGGTATGAAAAACCTGTGAACTTCTCGAAATGTGGTTTACGTGATTCATTTCTTCTCAAATCAGTCATTAATTCTACAAAATGAAGTATATATTTATATTTTTACACGGTGATTGTGGCGTGCAAAATTGAGTCAAAACCTGAAAGCGACGTGCATGACTGTCAAAGTTATAGTTCACTAAGCCTGCTTCTATTAGATTAAAGCAGCTAAGTCTTAAAAGAGTCACTTAAAATTCAACTACTTTTATAATTATATTTTTCTTATAATCTAAAATGGAAATTTCTTTCAGAATATAACAATATATTCGAAAAATATGTAAAATTCATTTTGTATTTATTGAATATAGGCCACTTAGAACAGTTCTGAAGTCTTGTTGGAAAATTCAATGTCAAACCGACTTTCGTCAATTCAATGACAAATCATAAAAATACTGAATTTTGAAACTATTTAAGACAGTGGACCTTTCAGTTCTAACGGCATTCCTACCCGATTTTTGCTTTATATTCATTTTATATTTTCAGATAATTAGTAAATATATATGCAGACAAACCATTCTTTATGGACTCAGGTTCGAGAGAATATACCTCAGGTAACTGATCACTTATCTGACTTAGCCTCACATCTCAATGGGCGAAAGACTGACATGTATCATCCAATACGTTCGATATCAAATTAATAACGTTTCATTGCCATCGAGCGTTCATTATTATTTCTCTTCCTGATAAATAAGTGTAATTTATTTTCTGGAACCTCTATTGAGACTCAAGCTCTCCACGGACCTTTTTTTTAATCATTTCATTTCAAAGAAGGCGGTAATGCCACTGGAACTCAGGGTGTTATCAGGAGTGAATGTAAAAGAAAGTTAAAAGACTGAGAATGGAGGATTGAGGGAAGGAAAAAAATGAACTGGGTTCAAGAAGACAGAGTGAAACTCATATATACGATCCATCGCTAAAGATTCTGGAAAAATGATCAATTACTTGTACCGGTCCAGAAAGAACTGACTGCTCCTCCCAGATTTTATCTTTACTAGAACCAGATCAGAAGAAAATGAAATGCTACTTGCGTATCTGAACTGGAGCGGTTCAATCCTCACTTTTCAGCCTTGACAGAATTCAAAATCTTTTATGCTGCCTTGGTGATGAATTACTTTCATTTCTACATCTCTGAAAGACGAAACTTTGCTAGCTTCCGACTATTTCTATCTCTATTTACATGGAAAATGTTCAGATCAGCTACATACATTAGCGTCACCATTCACACCTTCACATCTCTGACCCACCAAGCTACGTAAGCAATGACGACTCATTCTCTCTCCCTTCATACTCCACTGGCAAGAAAGAAGGTGAACTTTCCGTGTCGATATCCTTTGAACTATCCGCATATCCTAAGGAAAATATACTTATAAAATAAAGACGTCATTGATTCCAAAATTTATTTATAGTTATTTATGTGTTACTTAAAAATAAGCATTTTCTGACCAACGTTATTTGCACATCAAACCCGCATTAGAGCATTACGTCAATAACAAATATGAATATAACATTTGAAAACTGAAGATAAAATATTTACAATGAAAAAAAAAATGAAGATTGAAACTAAATCTAAAATAAAATCAAAGCTGGGAAAATGGTCGTTTTTGTGCCGCTCTAATATGTATCTGACTCCTCTTGATATGCTGTCTTTCCAAGATACTCATCAAATCTAACTGGAGCATAGTTACCATATTGGGGCTAGAGCAGACCAGCCCTCACTGGCCACTATTGATAGAGTTCAAAAGCGTCGATGCTGACATGATGAATTATATTCCACCATTAAATCCCTTCCATACAACGAAACTATGAAAACCGGTGACTGAGTCTACCAATAAAACTGTTATTGGTTTTATACAAAAAATATAGCGTTCCTAAATCAATTAGCCGAAAGGTAGTGGAATCGGACGATTCCTTAAATTTCCATACTATATATATATATATATATATATATATATATATATATATATATATATATATATATATATATATGATTACTCATATACCTAAGTTTACAGTACGACTCAGAGTTGCATGGCTTTTCCATTCATCAGGTAGAAAAAGTTAACTTATTTGTATCTGATGAATGGGAACGCCATGAAATTGTCAACCGTACTGGAAACGTAGGTATATATACGTAATTATTAATATATAATCTATCTATCTATCTATCTATCTCTGTATATATATATATATATATATATATATATATATATATATATATATATATATACCCTTCATAATCCATAGCCCAAATAAATAGTTTAAATACCCTACAAAAAGATAACCCTTTATGAAGTCGTCAAAAACAAACGTTACGACAATTTTTTTATATGCACAACTCCCTTTCAAAAAAAAAAAAAAAAAAAAAAAATCTCCATAGACATGCAAACTAGACGAGGGTTAATACATCTTCCTTTTAAAATTTAGACACCCCTACCTTTCCCTGACTTGACATCTATAAAAGTAACTCTATACTGATACTTATTATTAACACCCAACACTCGCCTACCCATTTTAAACAATTCGCCCTAGCTGTTACCATGGAAATTTTGATTTCAATTTTTAAAACACGTAAATTTCAGAAATACGTTATTCCAAAAAAAAAAAAAATTCGCTTGAAGATGGAACAGAGCTTACTTTAACTCAATTTATTCTAAATAATTATATTGAAGATTTCGGCTCTTGTTTTGAAACATGAGACTTCTTATGTCGCGATTTGGAATCATATTTTTTAAATAAATAATTATATATATATATATATATATATATATATATATATATATATATATATAGACACATTATATATATGAAACATTAAAAACAGTTTTTAAGGTTGAAACAAGATGTACACTTTTGTAGTGGATATATGCATGTTCTAATGTAACACTTCTTAGTAGACACACACACATACATATATTGAATGATAAAAATAGTTTCAAGATATGCTATATTTATGGGTTAAATTGCTCAATATATTTCAATAAAGAAGTTGTATAATCAATAACTTAAGCAACAAATAACAGTCATGAATACTAACTAGATCGTTTAATGATTAAAGGCATGAAAGTACTGAAATTTTGTAGAAACCTAAATTACAATGTAAGAATAGAAAACTCATTGTAAACAAAAGATAAAATCAGTGACGAATCATATAAAATTTAAAGACTTCAAATGTATGATAACAAAATAAGTTATAGTTTTCTTGAAAAAAATTTTCAAACAATGGTATTATATGAAAGCGAAATGACCAGTTACAGCAAAACAGGATCAATGAATTAGGATGATTCATATTAGTGAAATAATAAATAAACCTAAGGACAATGAAGTCAAAACTAATAAAAATACAAATCAAAATAGATTTCTTACATTTATGAATAATGTTTCTGACAAATCTGTTGCAAATTGTTTTATATAAATACATTAGATATTTACTATGTGAAAGATTTATTGCTCTAATAATATTCTGCACGTTGAACTTTGGCACAAATATCTTCAGAAAGTTTTGCAAGCAATAATCATTGTTTTAGCAACATACTTCTATCATTATAATAAATCTTTCAAACAAGAAAAGTTGTTTTAAACATAATTTATTTGTTAGATATGATAGAAACCAGAGGATTCCTTTTATATGACATGACTTTAAAAAATTTCTCCCACATTTTTCAAGTTCAAAACAAAGTATTTTTATTGTGATATTTTACCGTTTCCATAAGTTGCAGTTATTTTTTATTTATTAATCACAATAATGATTACATTTCCATAAGGAAGATAGAGGCTAACTTCAATTTTCTATATACTGTTCTGCAGGACGTTGGTGATCGTGAACCTCCACAACTTCCTCTTTCTTTTTAGCTCTTAATAAATTTACTCTTTTTTTTTTGTAATCTCTCCTAAATCTTGATCCGCGATCAATTTACTCAAGCTCGCTAGGTAGGTTATGCACTGTTTTCATCTCTTGCCTTAAGATTATCCTTTGCTTATAAAAATTTCGGTTGCATTTAGATTAATCTTAAAAAGTCAATTTTATTAAAAAAACAAAACCTTAATACTTTTGTAAAACCAGTTCTTGTATATATATAACCTAAAAAAATATGTAAATGGTAGTGTATCTATTTATTATTGACATTAGCCCTCTGCATATTTCTGTGGGATGTAGGTTCACAGACTCACCACATTAGGTGACGCTGCTGTGGTTTCCATAACACGTGTTCTATTTACGGAGATTAATTGTAAACACCACAACAAACCTATTTTGGATTCCGAGTTTTCCTTCTACTAAACTGGTTGCCAATCAAATCTATAGAGCCTAGTTTCTATTGCTATAAAACACCGAGCTGGTGTTGGGTAGAAGAGATAGATTCATATTTTGTGAGCATTGGTATCAGTTGGACTTGAACTCGATACACCCATCCCACTTTCTCCACCGATCGTCGACGCGTACCTGCATAAGCTTCTTAGATGCACGTTCATAAAAAAAATGTCCGTTGAAGAATGATTATCTGCACATCATGATCGCATACCGTTAACAGAGTGTTTGAATGTCACTGAATGCCCTATTTGGGCGTCGTCTACCAGTTGGAATTTAGTTTATTAAATAACAAAATTGAAACGCCTTGTTAGAAAACATCATCGTCCTTAAAATTTAGATTGTGCCAAAAATCACATTAATTCAGCGAATACTTGCAAGTTTTGACAAGAAAAAAGGAATACTGCTTACATTTTGATTCGTGATATAATGATTATGAATTGCATATTTCAGTGAACGCTAATTCTTAATCAGCAATTAAGTCCGGTGATCGAGTGAAGGACAATTTGTTTACTAGATTAATTTCATGAAAAATCCAACTGAATAAAGTAAATAACATCAAAATATACTCAATTATACTTTGAAGATTATATAATGAATCTTTTCTTATTATGAGCTATACTTCTTAGGCTTGCGGCCACATCACGTTGAAACACCGGTTCACGTACGATCACGGAAGTTAAGGAATGTTGAGCCTAGTCAATACCTAGATGGGTAAACGCTTCGGTATATCTGATGCAGTACGTTTGGATGTGTGGGTGGTCTAATCAGAATTGTTATTTGGAGAGACGAGTTCAAATTTTCATTGTGTTCCTTATAATTACATGCGCAACTACTCTGAGGAAAGGTATGAACCTATCAATTCTCCCTCACCAACTATAAAGTAATTTGTAAGATTTGTATCACTAAACCAATGTTATCTAAAAAAACAACATTTCCAACAGTTAAAGAAATATTTCCTGGCTTAGAATAATAATAATAATAATAATAATAATAATAATAATAATAATAATGGGGTGATAAACTGTAGAAAACGAATCAATCAAACAATTAAAAAAGTGTGAAACATTTCATGCACACCTTCAACACAAACATGCGAAAACAAATAAGCCAATAAGAAATTGATTGATTATTAGAAATATGATGTCATTTGCTTTGTACACGCAAACACACAGAGAGACAGACAGATAAACACAAAGAAACAAACAAATATTTATTATTTAGATAGTGATAAAAGATAAAACATAATATTTTTAACAGTGCTCAATATAAAAGAGGGACTGCAATTGTGAACGATGTTATTAAAATGCCTTTAAAGAGTAAGAATGTTTTAATAACATCTTTTGTATACTGGTCTGTATATATATATATATATATATATATATATATGTGTGTGTGTGTGTGTGTGTATATGTATGTACACACACACACACACATAAATATATATATATATACAGACACACACACACATTTATTTATACATAGGTATAAGCGGCTAAACCACAAGAAATACGACAAATACTGATTAGTAAGAGAAATGTGATATATTAACTATAATAATAACATATATATATATGTGTGTGTGTTTGTGTATAATTTTATTGTAAATTACAAATATTTATTAATATCTATCTACCTAAATATCTCGCTATACATATATATATATATATATATATTTATATATAAATCTATTTATTAAAGACATTTTATTATGTTTAACGTTGTTATTTTATAGATACAAGTATTTAAGCAAATGCTCTGTTTATGATAAACAGTATTAAATAACATTTACCGGCCTGAATGTCCGAGAAATTTTCATAGAAAATATTCGTTCTTTGACAGGATTCGAACCTGCATCCTATACGAAACCGTCATATACGCTGACGTGCCTTACCGTTAAGCTACAAAGAAGCGTTCGGTAGACAAGGTCGAATTTACTGCTTATAAACTCTAATTTTCCATGAATCTCGTACATTCATAACTGCTTGGCGTATCGAATGTAAACAAATGACGTCATATATTAAAGAAATGGACGTCCGATTTATTTATTAAAGACATTTTATTATGTTTAACAAGGTTATTTTATATTTTACATTCGATACGCCAGAGCAGTTATGAATGTACAAGATTCATTTAAAATTGAGTTTATAAGCAGTAAATTTTGTCTACCGAACGCTTCTTTGTACAACGGTTCAGCGTATATGACGGTTCCGTATAGATGCAGTTCGAATCCTGTCAAAGAACGAATATTTTCTATGAAAATTTCTCGACATTCAGGCCGGTAAATGTTATTTAATACTGTTTATCATAAACAGAGCATTTGCTTAAATACTTGTATCTATAAAATAACAACGTTAAAACATAATAAAATGTCTTTAATAAATAAATTGTCGGACCTTGTCCATTTCTTAATATATGACGTCATTTGTTTACATTCGATACGCCAGAGCAGTTATGAATGTACGAGATTCATGAAAATTGGAGTTTATAAGCAGTAAATTCGACCTTGTCTACTGAACGCTTCTTTGTAGCTTAACGGTAAGGCACGTCAGCGTATATGACGGTTCCGTATAGAATGCAGGTTCGAATCCTGTCAAAGAACGAATATTTTCTATGAAAATTTCTCGACATTCAGGCCGGTAAATGTTATTTAATACTGTTTTATCATAAACAGACATTTGCTTAAATACTTGTATCTATAAAATAACAACGTTAAACATAATAAAATGTCTTTAATAAATAAATTGTCGGACCTTGTCCATTTCTTAATATATAAATCTCTATCTATCTATATATATAGATATAGATATGCGTGTGTGTGCAAGTTGTTGAAATGATATCGGGTAGATTTTAAAGAGGATTCTAAAATTATTATTATTTTGAGAATTTATTTTAGATATTGTCAAGGGATTCTGAACAAGAATCTTTCACCGGTTCATTATATATATATATATATATATATATATATATATATATATATATATATATAACATCAAGTCTTGAAGGCGACCATGGTCAACTAAAACAAATTTAATTTTAACAATAGAGCTGGGATCTTGAAAAGTATCCTGCCCAAGATTCGGATAAAGAGATATTCTCTATAACCAATCCGCCTATGTGAAGGTAATGTACTCATCATGGAAATTATGGATAAGAAAAATGATACTTCACATTACATTTTACTATTACGGTTAGAACGTCTCATTTTGCGCCGAGCATTTTTTGATTTCCAGGAAGTTCTGTACAAATTAGCCTATAGTTCTTATCTATTAAGTATGTATTGTTTTGCAAGGAATTGTATAACGGTTATAGGTTTGGACAACGTCAAATTTCCGCCACATCCAAGCGGACATAGACGCCAGGGATATTGTACAAGACAATATACACCATGAATAGTTTAAAAGAAGCAAACCTCGAGGTCCAGGTATTCCGTCTTTTCCATCATTGCCAGGGATACCTGGGATTCCAGGAGGGCCTTGATTTCCCGGTATACCTGAGTGAAGGAAAAATAGAAAGTCAAAACGTAAACAAATGGAATTATTCTTTCATTGGATTTAGTTTATTTATTTTCATTGAAACTCATAGAATTAATCTATACACACAAAACTGTATGTCATATAAAATACAAAATTAATAATTGTGGTGCAAATATATCAAAGTTGGGTAGAATATTATTAACAATTCAACTGCAGAAACATAAATAACCCAGAACAATTAAGATGGCGTTAAATAAAACAATGAATAAATGTCAAATATTTAGATTTAAATTTTCTCTATATTTTATTTTTACACGTAATATTTTTTTATATATATATAATGCGATTTATATTCTCCATGTTGATTGCATTTTAATTTTAATATATCTTTTAATATTACACGAAGTCTGTATACTATATGTTTATTTTCCATACTCCAAAGCCAAGCAATACGTACGAACTCAGCTATAGCTTTTTTGTTTGCACAGAAAGAACCTCTCATGATTAAATGCTATAAAGTTGCTTCTCAAAAATAATTTTTGCACCAAATTCACAGTAAAGAAGTAAACTCTATAAAAATAAACATGTTTATGTACGTATTTTGTTAGGTGCTGTACATTTATACGAAAATTGACTACAGTTGTAAATTACAAACGTTTTCTGATTTGACATATTCCTGTTAGAAACTGATTGAATTTAAAACGTTCCTTTTATAAACAAGATGCCTCTAACCGAATACTACCATTCTAAAATGAAGTAAATAGTTAAATTTGCATATCGCGAATTTTTCTAGTATAATTTTCATTTACTGTCATTTTTCGTATTCTTTTTCTTTTATATGCCCCGCACGTTGAGGAGGTGGACGTCATTTTTCTTTAAAACTTTCTATCATTTGGAGATCTTGGAAGTCCTAACGACTTTATTATCCTTCTATCTTCTTTTTCTGACATTCATTTATTGCCATTCGACAGTTACGTTTCTCTTGCTTCGCTTGCCATCAATTTGCCTTCCATTCTAGAAGCTTTTTTTCCGATACCAAATCCTTCAAACTTTCCAATTCGAAAAAACATAAACTCCTGTCACTTAATCACGTGCCTACATTATTTTCAGCGTTCATTGGGAGAATGACATCTTTATTACTTAAGGACTGTTCTTCATCTGTGAGAAGAATGTCCATATAAGTCTTATTTAAGATTTATTTTTAATATTATTTGCAATCTACGCCGTTCATTAAACAGCTCAATAAATGAGATAGACATATGGTATAAAATTATATTTATATTTGAAAATTAAAATAAACAACTGGGATACGCTTGAATTTATTGTCTTAATACCTAAAATGATACATTGATTTTATTCGTTAAAATATTCGAAATATTATTTAATTTTCGCTTACTACATTTTGGCATTGCCTTCTTAGATTACATATCGCATCCCGTAAACTTGAGAAAGTGTTTTGATAGTTTCGGACGAAACTTAGTCCCTGGGATTATTAAAGTGCTTAACTAGATAGGTTTTTAAATATAACAATATTTTTGAGATAAAATTTAGGCGAAGTAAAAGGTGTTCCAAATGATTTCAAGTCATTCTAAATAACAACATTATGTACAGTGTAACCCGAATCTAAGAGACCCGGATATAAGATAAACCCGGATATAAGAGAGATTTTCTCTTGTCCCGAAATAGAGCATGTGTTAATGCATATATAATTGACCAAACCCGGATATAAGAGAAACCCAGATATAAGAGACTTATTCTCCGGTCCCGTCAACTCTCTTATATTCGGGTTACACTGGTGTAATGTTTTTTTTTTAATCCGATATACGTTTATCATTTCAAACCTAATTGTTTGTAGATACCCGTATTTAAATAGACGGTCCGTATTTTTTTTTAAGCAGTGTTTATTTCAACTGCCGGCCTACGCAATCGAGAAAACTTAATAAAGTCTATGTGCCGATCATGTTCCTAAATCCATTCGTCAGATGGAGACTTTTTTGCATGACACCATATCCGTTCAGAATTATCTAAATCCTCAGCTGCATACATTCGATCAATGGTAAGAAAAGGTTTTGTGCGAGTGAAGCCTGAGGGTTTGGGGAAAATATTTTCTCTGGGCCCAAATTAGAGCCAGTGTTAATGTAAATAAAATAGACCAAACCAGGATATAAGAGAAACCCAGATATAAGAGACTTCTTCTCCGGTACCGACAACTCTCTTACATCCGGGTTACACTGTATTTGCTTAATCGTATTATCTGATATTTTA